TGTTTAAGATGTAATCTCAGATCCAGGCAGACTGCAGAAAGACAGGTTAGAGGAGATTAATACCTTGTCCTGCCAGGAGACAGCTTTAAGATTTCACAGTACTACATGTCCTCTTCAATGAGTAAGAAGCTACTAGTATCATTTACATCCTCAATACCACTCCAAAAAGACATCCCTTCAGTTAATACATACCCTAGGACAACAAGCATGACATGAGACTATTCCAACCTATAAATCATCACAAATTAAAGCAAATTAGAGCATGGTTCTCCCCTGGTTAAGTTATGGGTAAAATACTTTCAAAATTGTAATTGTACCTGTACGTTTTTCTACACTATGGACCAAATACAGCCATTGCATAAGCATTTGCAAGTGCTGTGGTAATTTGCGCTGCTTTCTCTAGCACCAAAGGCTAGAGAATTGGGCCAGATACCTCCACACAATAGTTTTACTTAACGAGAAAGACACGACCCAGATTTCAGATGAAATTACTAAACTGAAAATTCCCAGGCTTGTTGCCATAGTTACTTGAAACTTACTGTTAAAAAAGATAGGAAGAGAGGGAGGAGAAAAAGTAAGAAGAGAGCAATATTACAGTCAGGGTTAGGCCATATGATTGAGAGGCAAGGGTCTTGAAGGAGCAGGACCTCAGTGACAACATTCCAGCAGGTTATCCAGGAAGCCAGTATTTCTGCCTTCTGGTTGCTACTGGGTTGATTCTATGGACACCAGTAATTTTTAAGTGGTTACCACAGTGACTAAACATACTGCACAGGCAGCTATTAGATCAGCAAAAGCATAAAGGGATTGGGTGGAGAGAGACAGACTTCTGGCACAGTTTGTTTAATACAGAAATTGCCTCATTTTACAACACCAGACTGCCTACTTTTCCAGTTTGCAACGATAGTGAAACTTGCAGCAACGTCTAGTTCACTCAGAATAAACTTTTTGGCCTCTGCGTAAGACAACATCAGAAATACTCCAGCTCTACAGAAGCAGAATTACAGACATATCACATTAGCAAGTTAGCCCTGTTCTTCCCCAAATGCAGGCAGGATCAAAGTATCCTGTGAGACAGAGGCTGAAAACCTGAGAAAGCTGTGGACTGTGCTTGTGAATCTTTCCTATATTACCATTTAATATTGCTGGTAGTCTGTCACATCAGTATGAAGGAACAGGCTGTATTCCTAAAAGGCTTTGTGCTAAGCTCACCAACAAACATATCACACTAGTAGGTTTTTTATTATTCTTTATCTCATCTTTTTATTCCTGCATTTTTTTCACTCCCTTCACTTTGTAATAGCCAGCATGTAAAGCAGTAAAATGTCTGCAGCTGTGGCAGTATAATAGAGGTTTGTGTACACTGAAAACACACACAGCTGAAGTAAATATATTTGATGTCCTACATATTAGTTGGACCATAATACAGTTTGTACGAACATTAACATGAGAGCTCAGGAAGGGCACTAGAGTAGTTGAAAGACTGCTCTGTCCTAAGCTGAGGTTGTGCTTTTTAAAGACTTCTATGTTACATCCTGTCCTGGTCCCAAGGAGCAAACTCTTCCTTTTGGGCTGTCTTCTTTCAGCCTGTAAACTTACTCTCCGTTACTGCCCTTGCTCAGACAGCACTATTGTGCTTTGTCTGAAGAAGAAAAGAGAACCCATCATGCTATGAAGAACTATGTTTTACTAAGAATGTGTTTCCTCGGAAAGCTGTATCTCCAGTAGTGTAGCCAAGAGGTTTTTTTGACTGGTTTTAGAGTAAGGAAAGCTCAGATCAAGGACATTTAATCACACAACAGCAGAGGAGATTGTGACCTTTTTTTAATATCATAGTAAGTTATAGCCCTAGTTCTCTCTTGAAGTGGATCAAGCAATCTCAAACAGAAACTGAGGAGAAAGAGGGAATGACAGAGTTCAGCTGGTGCTGTCTCCCGCTTGAATTCCTAAGGGTGTCACATTCCTTAGCAGCAGCAGAAAGGTGAGAAATTCTTTTCTGTCTGAAAACATGAAACAAGACAGCAGCTGATGATGCAGCAGCAGCCACTGCAGCAAGGCAAGGTCTTAAGGTGGTGGGACAGAAGCAGTAAACACAGGACAGTGTGGGATCAGAGCAGCACAGGTTTTTAGTGGCAGGACATATCCTACAGTTGAAAAGTTACTTGGTATTCACAGCTTTCTTTAATCCTAACAGGTACTCCAGAATGATAGCATGGAGATACAAGCCCTATAATCTTATAAATCAAATGCAAAATATTGAGCTTTACTTTAGATTAATAATAATCAATGAAGCTGGCATAGCCCCATTCTTTTATCCAATGCTACCTGGGGCAGGGAATTAAAAAGGAAGCCATAAGCTCCATTAAGGTACTCAAGAACAGAAAAATCTCCACAGTCTCTTTGAAGTGTTATCTTTTCAGATTATCCCAGACAGCACCATCCCAAAATGGCTGCATGCCCAGGTGTCTCAGTATTTTATGTCAGATTAAAAAGGTGCACAACAAACACACAATTACTTATTGCAATAATTAACCATGTCTCCTCTCCTTAAGGTTGTTTTGGTTTTTCCCCCCATTGTGGTTTAACCACAGCCAGCAACTAAGCACCACACAGCTGCTCACTCACTCCCATCCAGTAGGATAGGGGAAAGAAGCAGAAAAGTGGAAAAACTGGTGGGTTGGGATAGAGACAGTTTAATAGGCAAAGCAAAAGCTGTGCACACAAGTCAAAACAAGGAATTCATTCTCCACTTCCCATCAGCAGGCAGGTGTTCAGCCATCTCTAAGAAAATAGGGCTCAAACACATGTAACAGTTACTTGGGAAGGCTTAACACCATCACTCCCAATGTCCCCCCCTTCCTTCTTCCCCCAGTTTTATATGCTGAGCATGACATCATATGGTAAAGAATAGCCCTTTGGTCAGTTGGGGTCAGCTGTTCCAGCTGTGTCCCCTCCCAACTTCTTGTGCACTCCCAGCCTATTCACTAGCAGGGTGGCATGTGGAGCAGAAAAGGCCTTAAGGCTGTGTGGGCACTGCTCAGCAATTACTAAACCATCCCTGCATTATCAGCACTGTTTTCAGCAGAAATCCAAAACATAGCGTCCTACTCACTACTATGAAGAAAATCTCAGCCCAGACCAGCACACCTCCCAAGAACCATTATTTAAACAAAGAAATGGTATGTAAATGGCTTGATAAATAATGCTCTGAAGGACACAGGTGACAAGCCACTTGGTGGCACTCTGCCCATACTAACTTCTTCACTAGGCACACTGATAGGCTGTGGAACATCCACTCCATCCCAAACAGTGCCCTGTTTACAAGTCCGATAACAGATGCTTTGCTCCACTCCCTCCCTTTTCAAAGTAGCCTGTACGGACTGCAGGAGCATCAACTGGTTTAAAAACCTAATCAAAGCACTTACCCCTGCAATTCACTCTGCAGTACTTGAGTATGAAAGAACTTGAGCTTGTCACAGTGAATGGATAGGGGGGGAAGAAAGGAAAGGTTGAAAGAAATACATGAGAAGATACAGTACAGGCAGCTACCAGGAAAATGAGAGAAGATAGACTCTTGTAAATGGTATTCCCAAGGCAGGGAAGGTAAGACAATCAGCAGACAATGAACAGCGAGCAAAGCAGCAGGTGAGGCTCAAGTATTCCTGGTATTGCAAACTTTAACCAATAGCAGCCCAAAACACTGCATTTCATACCTATAAAGTTCAAACCCATCTAAGTTCTCTCCAGAAGTAAGGTGCTATGATAATCAGTTATCCTTATCAGGTTGTATCTCACTATTCATTTATACAAAGTCTGAAACTTCTATTCCAGGAGATAGGGAGGGAGAGAAGATTACTTTTTTTACAAGACAACAGCACTGAAGGGGTAGCTTTATGCATCAACTTTTCTGAAGCGACAAGTAGCAGTCAGTACTAGTTTTACCCATCCAGTACGGCATTGCCCCTATAAGCCTCCTTCTTGTATAGCTGTTACAAAATTTACCCATTGAGCAATTGGGAACACACTAGCAACCTAGGATTAAAGCAAGCATTTTAATTGACCATCTTACAATTGCTAGAAGACAATATGTAATATTTACTCAGCTCCATAGCAAAAGCCCCGAATTCAACCCTGATTATTATGGCAGGAATACTCTTTTTTCAAGTATCTGCACCCCCTTTTCTTTGGCAAAGGCAGCAGCAAAGAAGTGCTGAGGTATTATGATGCAGAGGACATTTGCCTGAACTCAGTACACAAATGGTATGATTTCCTTTTCCAGCCTGTTTTTGCTTCATGCTGTTTCAGTAATAGAATGACACTCCACACTAAAGTTTCACTTCAGGATCTGGTATCACAACATAATGAAACAAGTATTTTCAAAATGGTGAAGGGATTTATTGCCACTTGGAACATGTTTATTGTTCAAAAACACTGCACTGAAATAAAATCCATTGCATACATTCTTTGTCATCAGTATCTTTACATCATTGTAACTTTCAGGCACGTCATGCAGAAAAACCACTCTCCCAATGAAGTCACCGGAAGGCACACTGTGTCCTTCAGATCTTAGACTCTAAAGTTAAGTTTCTGCCTGTGTAAGGATTACATACATCTAGAATGAGTTGAACAGTAGGTAAAAAAAAAAAAATTTTTTTTTTTTTAAAAAAAAAAAATCTATTTAGAACTTCTTAAAACACAGTATCAGACTTTCTTGCCTTCCTTCATTCAGTGCTATGCTCTTGCTTTTCTGAGTGTTCTTTAAATAATGTGCGATGTAAAAATGTATGTTAATTAAGTCTCTTTACTGAGACAAGGCATGCAGTAAGGGAAAAGGGATAGCTGGTCACTTCCAGGCTGCCTGTCTACACATTTGTTCTTGTAGATTAGGATACCGCTGCTTAAGTTAAAAAAAAAGAGAATAGGAATGAATGCACCCAAGTTAAATGGCTTTTGAGAGTATATTAATACATAGAACAATGTACCACCTACAGTTCTGTTCGCTGACCTTTGTTCACATTGATTTGAAAACAAGTTCTGTCAAATCATCAGGGGCCACTTTTGTAGACTGTTAGATAAAAAAGTTGGTTTTCAAATATTGCTTGTTATTTGGATGGGGTAATTATTAAGGACCTGTAAGGCAGCAAGACTGAAATGCAATGGTTTACGTTGCTGAACAGTAGTTTTAAAAAGGCAAGATAAAAAGAGTAGTTGAAGGATTCTTGATGGGGTCTTATTCATAATAGGTGTTTCCATTTGACCCCCACTGCAATTGTCACTGCAACTGTAGATGGCAAGTCCTCCTTGGTTGTAATTTGGGATGAACACATTCCCTGGCTTATTTCAAGTTAGATTTAGTTCTTTTTCTCCAGCCTGCCAAGAGAAGAACAACTTTTGTAAGAGTAAATATTGAACTGCAGTTGCTATAAAAGACTTACAGTAGAACTAAAGGAATTGAGGACACTTGGCCAGTTATTTATGCAAACGCAGGTCCACGTGCAGTTTTGCTCAGTTTCATCTTTTAATTTATAGTTGAGGAGGCTTCACCCTGCCATTGCTCTACATAGATTTCTTAGAGCAGAAGGGAGAAAAGCCATAATCCTGACTCATCAGGATTGCTTGGGGCAGTGTCTGCACTATTTGCTACACAACGAGGGTGTGGAATTGCTCGCAGCCTGCTCCCCACTCATACTCAGTTTCATCTACCCCACATATAGAGCAGTCAGCTTAGAGAGGTTTTGCTCAAGTTCTTTCAGACATACAGCCCCTTCACAGTTTTATAGATGTTTCCATCTTGGGAATTAGTTACCGAGCCTGACACATGCAGATTAGTTCACAAAATACATGAAACAGGCTCCCAAACAGCCAGCAGCTGCCAAAAGCTCTGTCTACATGCATGACCATAAGGGTTTTGAGCATTTTGTGTGCACCTCTCAGAAGATTCAAAGCAGGTGCAAGGCAACAAGTCACAGTTCAGCCTACTAACAACAAGCTTGCTAATAGGTTTGCAAAAGGTAAAGTTCAAGAAACAAGTTCAGAAAACATGCAGGGGTTTGCACCTCAGTTAAAAGCCACTGACAAGAGTATTCCAAGAGTTTGACTTCCCCTTTTGAAAGTGACTTGCCTGTATTTGATCAGTCGTCCTCCTTGAATGAGTTGTGCAACTTCATTAGTCAAGTGGCATGCAAAAAGAAGCCAATTCCTTGGCTGCACTTTGTAGGCAAATCTCATGAAAGTCAAGGAGTAACAACACAGTGCTGCAAAACACGATAGGTATTGTTAGTAGATTTTTAATATTTGCATTTTATTTTCATACTAGTGGAATGCAATGACAAGCAGAATGCTTCTCACTGCTTTTCAATTTTCCAGTAGTCCTACAAACATGTCCATTTTGAGGATCCAGTACAGGAAAAGGCTGTCACAGTTTAGTGGCCAACCCAGCCTTCAACAGTCAAGAGAATAAAAATTAATTCCAATGAGACACAGCCTGCACTATACCATTATTCTAACAATTTCTAGGACACAGTATTTTTTAAAATACTAATTAATTAAATACAGTTCTTGCTTAACTTTAAGAGGAGGTTTCCATGCCCAGGAAATCATGAACATATAGAAGCATAAACTACCTGCTTTCCAGAAAGATGAGGAATAATTTTAATCTACTCTCCTATCATAATTGTTTTTACATACAGGAAATTACAACCCAAGGCACTAGTTTTGTGAAGTTCTGACAGGCTTAAAAAAAAAAAAAAAAAAAAAGGAGAGGATTGTTCAAGGAAAACATACAGAACCTAAAAGATGAAAAAATACTTGTATGCACACCACACTATATATACTTGTAAAAATTAAGAAAGTTTCTCAACTTTGCTGAGCTGGGTAGCTGCCACCAAAATGCTATTTGCAAACAGTTTCACTATACCAGAGATATTCAAACTGGTCTTCCATCTTGAGGAAGTTGAGATTGAAGCACTCTAAGCAGAACCTAGTGAACATAAAGCTATAAATTTGCTTAACCCAAACATATTTTGCTTAGGGGGAGAAGAATTACTCAGAATTAATTATTAACTGAGTTAAGTAAGAGACATAATGCCAAAATTAAGCTAATAAATTAAAGCTACCAGATTTATGATCCTACAGAAGATTTTGAACAGAGACAGACATCTACACAAAAGCTATACATGTTCCAAAACCAGTAAAAAAAATAACGCTTATACATTTAAAAAGAAATTTTCACACTATTCCATTAAGAGTCACACTAGGCTCTTACAGGCAACTGCTTTAGAAGGAACTGATCTGCCATAGCTGCTTTTTGCACCCTGCAGCCAAGCATTACCATTCCTTCACTTTGTCAGTGCTGGTATCTAAGTCTCACACTAACCACAAAGCATAATTGTTCTTTATACAAAGAATAAAGTTGGGTAAAGAGAGACATGCTGAACTGGCATATGCAGTAGTATAAGATACCAAAATCACACTTCAGGAGCGAGTCTGGTAATCAAAACTGCTAAGGCTCAAGACCCACTTCCTCTCCCCATCCCGCTCCCAATTAAGGGAAAGCTCTCTGAAAGAGAGCTCTGCAACTTTTCAATGCCTAAAGCGGCCTCTGAAGTTATATAACAAGATATTTGATACCTGTATCTGCTTTGATCCTAAGTTTTCAGGCAACTATTAATATATTACTGCTTGAAAGTGAGAATTTGTGTTCTGTAGGCAGTTTATTGATATTTGTCTTAGGCCTTACCAAATGTCATTCGGCCACTGATGATTTCTGGCGATTTTTTCATGTCATTAATAGCAGCAACAGGAAGTCCCCAGTTGGCAACTGGCCCCCAAAAGTGCTGTAAAGAAGGAAAAGGAAAATAAAGTTATACAGAAACACAGCTCTCCTGCAGTATTCTTACAGTTTTCCTTAGCCACACAAAGCTTCAGAGGATAGGGCTAAGGGTAAAATTCCAAGTTAAGGCAAATTACTTTTGATGCAAGGGAGAGAAACTGAATACTTGCAGCAAGATTTAGTCTTCAGGAAGGAAGGAGGAGGAACCTTCTCTGAATCTTCCTACAGACTGCAGAACTACTGTAGGCCACCGAAATGCAGTTTTGTGTGATTACACCTCAGCCATCATCAAGCAGTTTAACTGGTATAGTCATATAGTAAACTCAGATTTACAGTTCACTTCTGTGCAGAGATTCAGCATTCATCTCTTTCAAACAAGGCTCCTCACAAATGTAATGAAAACACAAGAAATTGCTGAAGTGAAGAACTGTTCTCATGTTATTCCAAGGATCAAGAAATGCTCAGCAAGCATTCTCTTGCAAGTGCTTACACCATCTCTTTGAAAGAGCAAGGCCATGCAACAAAACCCAATTGTTACCTAGAGCTTCATTTGCAATTGCTGAAACAGCTTAGTGATTACTTAAAGCTCAGTGATAAGACAGAAATAAAAATAGAACAGAGTAAGACAGATACAAGAATAGCTACAGATGTGTGCACAGACAGAAAACAGATGGAAATGGAAAGCATCAAGCACAAAAAAAAAAAAAAGCTCAATTTGTCTGAAAGGCTCCAAATTGAGAAAAATAGTCTTGCTCAATTTCTACTGCTGTTACAAGTAACAAGGTGTCAGTAGAATTTTTTCTACAGAAGCAACATGTAGTACATTTTCATCACCTTCTCCTAATGGGAAACTAAGGATGCTCAAAAGTAGCTTGACCAGGTACAGCAGAAATGATGCACCTCGCAAGAAAAAAAGCTTTGCAGATGCCAACTATACCCATTCTTCTGATACTTCCTCTAATTGTAACACTGCGGATATTGCAATGATTTTAAACTGTCAGGAGCTATTCCAGTTTCTTGCAAATATCTTCTATTATCTTGCTAGTCTTGATACTACTATGTAACACTACAGTAAGATTAAAAGCCACACTTGCTTCCTGCAGATTTGTGTTCCAATAAAAAAAGTCAACTATAAAAAGTACAGAAAAACTGAGTTTAAATTGTACACATTCTTTTGATAGTTTAGCCTTAGTACAATATGCAAAATAATGTAGTATTTCTGCAAGTGTCTTCAGAATGTGCACTGGTCCAAACTCAGAATTGTTTTAAGAGTATTCTGAAGACTGCAATAAATGCATGTTTACTGTATTCCTCATGGCAGAAATTGCTTTAGGGGACAATAAGAAGACCAGAAACAAAAATCTAGTCACAACCATGACTACTTGCACAGTAAGACAGCAAGACAACTTCTGTTAGTATCACCATACTAAAGCAGAATGCACAAGGTAACTGCTAAGTATGCATACTTGAAGTTTTCAGAGTCATTTCAGTAGTCTCATTTAAATAACTGTAGTTTCAGAAAAATAAGTCTTTGAGGCTCTCAGCTTGATTTTCCTGAATCTATAAAACAATTACAGCTTTGCGAGTCTTAATGCTGGCTTCTTTTTTGGAAAGTAAATCAAATCAACTTGGCATTTTTACTTAATTCAACTGCCATTAGAATAGAAACAAATAACATGCTGTAGACTACGGACCACTTCAAGCTCAGGCTGCACAAGCTGAAGAATCACTAGTTCACATCCCAGCAGCAGCTTTCCTCTGCTGACCAGGGAGGTAGATTTGGAACCTTCTCACTTGAGATCGTTATCCAGTTTTAAGTGCCTCCAGGCAGGCAGGCAACCCTTTGAAGTTTCCACACACAAGAATTAAACTACACCTATGCAGTTTGTCTTTGGTCTACGTAGAAGAGCAAGTCTTCCATAACATTATGATTCACAGCCATAAAATATCCACTCCCAGTTTCAGAAGCAAACTGGAAGACTGAAGGAAAGACAAGTCTGTAGTGAGTGTTACATGGTTAGATTTGCTGTCTGAGATAAAGGTGGTTGAAACCAAGCCTGGTAGTTTGGTTAAATACCAGTATTGTCACGCAGAAGAATGGCTCCAGATTGATCTGATCTCCTTAGCAAAGAGTATAGAAAAAAAATGAAACCCCTTTAATTTTGTAGTGATCATTTTAGGAGACATTCTGTAGGAGCTAATATTTGGTCACCTTATATAAATGGTCACCTTAAATATTACTCCTCGCTCCTAGAGCCTTGCAATATGCTTTGCAGATGCAGGCAAGGTCATAACACTGCTGAGGCAAAAAGACTCCAAGGTACTGAAATTATGGACAACACAAAACAACAAGTCCCTTCCCTCTTCTTACCGTACTGTTTGAGTAGGCCATCGTTGTTTTCCATTCAAAAAGCACATGGAAGAAAAAATAAAAAAGTGTTAGTTTCTTTGTAATCAGAGAAAAGTGCACCACAAACAGAAGACTGGTAGAAGTTAGGAAACTGCAATGGCATTAATGCTCATTAATGTAACAGTATTAAAAATCCTATTTCCCTCAAGAGCTGTGACAAGTGTTTTCTGCTCAAGTATCTTCTTCCTAGCAAGATAAAATGCCATTATGGCCTGTTGAAGACATTTGTCCCCTGCAGACTTCAAAGCATCCGAGATCCCACCCCAACTAGCAGTTTTAAAGGATGCCAAAAGCCATCAAGGTTTGTCGTGACAAAGCAATTCCTCTGTGGAAGCTTTGAAGAAGTCACTTGGAATTCTTTGTATACCTATGTAAGTAGGTCAAACCAAATGTTGCCAGAGATCTTACTCTCACTAAGCTCAGTCCAACTTTGGCTGAACCAAACATGAGCTATAACACATTTTCAGTGATCTAATGTGCAGTTATACTCCAGTCATACTTGGGGTTCATTTAAGTGATCATCTAGGAACCAATTTATTAAATAACTTAATGATCTATGCATGAAAACAGGACTACAACATATATTGAAGATTGTTTGCTAGTAGGCCTTTTAAAATGCTTCAGAACTTTTAAACATCCTCTTCCTAGCAAGGATACTGATAGGACTCAGTTCTGAATTAAGACTTAGAAGAAGCCAGCTACTACCGACTGCTGCTCACCTACTGCTGCCCCACACTGCAGAAGACTTTCTAACGGTCACTTCCCTCGCTCTGATTTCCATCTTAGAGCACTGTTTTACAGATAGCTATGGTAAGGGAACAGTCAGGTCTGCTTAGGAAATCAACACTAGATGTGCATTTCAGCAAGTCTGTTACAAGCCACAGGCTAGTTCAAGAGGCTTTTCTAATGTGTCCTTGAGTAGTCTAACCACTCGGGTTTTGTTTTCTTATGAACTGAACTGCAGCAATAGCTAATTGAAGTTCACAAGACAAGTGCACACTTCAACTTTTTCACAAAACCTAACTGAATAAGCTCAAATGTGTCACCTGGCACAACGTTTTTGTGCCAACGGAAGTCCCGCTTTCATTTTTAAAGTGGAAGTTGTTTTTAGGCAAGTAAAAGCCTAAAACAGAATCAAACTGATACTATTTTAACAGCAGCTCTAAGGTCTTGCAAGGTTGTCCTCACATTCACATGAGGCTGAGCAGTTATTACACTCCTATAAGGGGCAGATCAAGGTCATACAGACTCTTCCAGAAGCAGGCATCCAGCCCCAAAGCTCTGTAGCCAATACAGCTGCAAAAAATGCACCACATCCAATAGTGAGGACACTGCAGCTGGTGTGTGCATCTATTCCTGAAGTGGCTCCATTCCAGATTAGTAGTTTCCAAGAACTACATTCAATCCCTTGACAAAGCAAACACTTTGTACTAACATTTCCAAAACTGAGGACAACAGTTGTTGGATTTACTCACTATCTGTGTGTCTGCTGTTCGTATAAGTGTCTAGACATTACAACAGGAACCAACAGCTTATATTGCTGCTACAAACTATTCCAGAAATGCTGTATCTGGGAAGATTCATTTTTCCAGAATTTTCACATGTATTTTCCTCATACAGGCAATGAGGATATTAATGGGTCAGAGACCATTCTGCAAATATAGATGAACTGTCACCACTCATTACCCCCACACTGCCATCCCCTAAGTGGAAAGCATATTACCCTTCTACGAGAGTTAAGATTGTTCAGGCAGTGCTGTGTCCTTCAATTTCTAGCACAGATCTGTAGAGGACTTTTTTTTTTAGTTCTTATGTCCTTGTGTTTAAAGATTTACTAACGAGCAGAACTGAAGATCAGCTAATTCAGTTCTACTACAAATGCTACTTCCTCTAAAGTTCATTTCAATTAAAAGAAAGGTCATAGACAGCTTACATCAACATAAGCGTTCAAGCTTTACAACGAATTAACTATCTATTTCAAATGCATCTAAATTAAGAGTCTCTAAATTTGCATTACTGCTGAGTCATCAGGAAGAGACATTTCACTTATGTCCCAAGAGATGGCAGTCTCCATGCTTATTTTTCTATTACCAGAAGATTTTAGGACTCCTCAGGATTCATTAGGTGATTGAAGTAATTTAGGCTGCCACCACAAGAAGATGCCAGAGCTTGTCTATAGTGGCCTGTAAGTCTTCTCTCAGAAGAGGAAAGCTGTTTTACTGGATGTTTTTCAGGAGATACTGTTCTAAATCTTTAGGACAGAAGGTACAGGGACTCAGTTGCCTACTGTTAGTGGCTCAGATAATACAACTTCAGCAACAGCTGACATTTTTAGGATCTACAGAGAAAAAAGATGCAACTTCCAGTTCACAATGTATAAAGCTACCAAGCTTTCATATGCTAATCAGCCAGTTAAAAATTAACATTAATGTTGCATTTACAAGAAGGAGTCTATAGCTTACATTCTTACTATGCTTACTTTAAAACATCAGACATGGTTATCTATACTTAAATGATTTACAGTTATTCAGATCCCTATAAATCACTGCTTGAGAGAAGTCAGATGTGAAACTGGCAGAACATTTCATT